GTGAATGCTTCAACACTGGAAGTTTTTAAGAAGAGATTGGATAACCATTTATCTGAAATAGTATAGGGTTTCCTGCCTAAGCAGGGGGTTGGACTAGAAGACCTCCAAGGTACCTTCCAACTCTGTTATTCAATTCTATCTCTCTTAGTGGGCGACTATGGAAAGGGAGTTTTTCTTCCCTTCTTTTGAGGCTCCAGAAATGGAAAAATAAAAATATGGAGAAGGAATCTGGAAGAAATTCTACATGAGATATTTTGATTTTCCAAATGATCAGTAAAATTGAATCCCTTTCCTGCCAATTCTTGGCCGTGTTGGAAACTTTGGCAAACTTTGAGCAATTAAAATGGGAAAATGCTATTTTAAATGTATATTTTCTCTCAAGCTCCCCCTCCCCCCGAAACATGTTTAATCTATTCCTGTATAATTTGATTCTCTCTATCCACAGTTAATGACAGTTACTATTTTCAACACTTATTTTTCTATTTGCTAATTGGAAAAATGATGTGCTTTGATATGACAGAGAGTGCACTGTTCCATTTTTAATCCTTGAAATAATATGATTATTGTTGGAATAAAAACTAAGGGTGTAACTTAGCACCCTTTTGTGCACAGAAAGCAGAGTGTAAATTTTTCTCCCTTATTCTGTGATCATGTCAATACTATGGAAAAGTGTTTTGCACCTCAAGAAGGGAAAAGTCTATTCTGGAAAGCATATCAGCAGCTTCACAGCAGAGGATAAATAGATGTAACAAGGCATATTAGATCCATAGTTTTGAGTAATTTCAGTTGATTTTAGATATAATTAAAGACTGCTTTAAAAAAATGACTACCAAATATTCACCACATCACATCACAAGGTTGATATCGATCTATTAAAAAGCCACTGCCAGTGATCCTGGAATTCAGTCTCCCTCTCTTAACAGACACGAGAGGTTTCTGGAAGTGGTTATAAACTCCATTTAACATAGCTATATTTCTCTCTCTAGCAGTAATACCTACCAACTCTGTGGCACTTACCTATGGGAGGATATGGATAAGACTGATTCTATTAAAGAACAGGATTAACAGAATTTAAGTTCTTACTTTTGCATAAAAGCAAGGGTGGTTTTGTTGGCCGTAAGAAACAGGCTTTATTGTAGTTGCAGGCAAAAATGTAGGCATCTCTGGCGAAAATGTATCCTTCAAAGACTCCTCAGTGAACAGTAGCAGCGCTGCCATATGTAATGATTTAATCATGGCATGTTATTGTAAGTTGTGAAGTCGTGTTCGACCCAACACATCCCCAAGGACAACGTTCCTTCAGGCCTTCCTGACCTCTACCATCCTCTGGAGTCCATTTAAGCTCATGCCTACTGCTTCAGTGATTCCATCCAGCTACCTCATTCTCTGTCGTCCCCTTCTTCCTTTGCCCTCAATCATTCCCAGCATTAGGCTCTTCTCCTGTGAGTCCTTCCTTCTCATTAGGTGACCAAGGTACTTGAGTTTCATCTTCAGGACCTGTCCTTCTAAAGAACAATCAGGGCTGATCTCCTCTAGGACTGACCGGTTTGATCACCTTGCAGTCCAAGGGACTCGTAGTAGTCCTCTCCAGCACCATAATTCAAAGAATCATGGAACATTTCTGCAAATTTTAATGCACATTTAATATTTATGTGCAGCTATTTACAGATACTAGATGATGAGAGATTGGAGAAAAGGTTTCCTTCAGATTCATGTCCCATGCACAGTATAAGCAATGCCATTCTGTGGACAACCCCTCCAACCTCAGTCAAACATTTTGGATGGTTATTTGCAGTGACCTACAGGTTTTGTGTTGCAGATCTGATCTGCTTCAAGACAGTTCTGGCAAAGATATTTCTTTCTTGGTCTTCCGGACTTTGCCTTGACTTTAATAGTTACAGCATGTAACTTCCATTTCTTATCAATATTTTTCAATTACTAGAAATTACTAGCTGGAGGCATTTAGTTTTTGTAAACAGCCTTCTGTGGTTTTGTTACTTTAATTTTCAAATGCTTATATCGCTGGCTAGAGCAGCTCATTTTGCTGAAAGTAGATAGAACAACAGTCACAAACTGAAATATTAGAAGAATCTGAATATTTATTTACCTGTAGAATCATCTGGCCAAATATAGAGTTCAGGTAATCAGTGTTTTCTGTATTTATTTATATCCTGCCATAACAACAACTCCGTGAGGTGGATTGGGCTGAGAGAGAGTGACTTGGGGGAAAAGTAGCACTGAAGCAATGGGAACATTATTCAAATGTCTATGCTTGCCATGCTTACTGTTTTCCTATTTTTCATCTCTGAACAACAATGCATTCAAATTTTGGAGAAAAAAGGTTGCATTTAACTTGTACGATATAGAGGTTGTGTCAGCCTCTATTCATGTAGAGATCTATTGTAACATGCAATTGAATGAGGGAAACACTTTCCCATGCATAGTAATTATTTTTATTAGGCCAGTTCAAGATCAGAAAGCAATATGTAAGCTTATATGTACTCCAGAATTTTGCACCTGGCAAGTTGATAATCAAAAAGGTGTGAGGAAAAAAAGAAAATTACATTAAAACTATGGCGTCTGAATTTAGTTGCAGTCTTAAGAGAATAGGGGAGGAGGGAGGTGTGATATTCAAATTTGTCCTTGGTATAATTTGGCATCTTCTGGATGTGTTGGGATTACAGTTTCCAGGATTCTTAGGCAACATGCTGGCTAGTAATTGTGGGAGTTATAACCAAAAATGTCTGGAAAGAACCAGGTTTGGAGAAATCAGATCAGGTGACAATTTGCAGCACTGTCTTTTGAAATATCTATGTAACAAATGCTATTTTTCTCCCTTCTCCAATTGGATAGGATTTCTGTGCTTCTGCTGCTCTACCAGACAGGTCCAGCAGTCCGACTATGCAAAGCTCTCTCAGTCCTTTCATCCTGCAACTCAATTCAACTGCCCTGGTATGGTCTCATAATATAACCAGCAGCCATCTTCCAGCTTGGCCCCCAGTCAAGTCCCTGCAGGTGTGGCTATCTGAGTCTGGCCAAGCATGCACCAGAACTTGCCAGCAGCACAATTTAGTCTGTGAGCCTGAGTTTTTCAAGTTCCTGAACAAAAAAGAAGTGTTCCAGCAGTAAGTTGGCGAGCTTTCTTATGTCCTTCCCTTATTCTCCCAACCAAGGAAGTTCTCCTCTTCTTTACGGAGCTTTAAAGATGTAAAATTCCAATGCAGGCTTTGGAAGTTGATTTGGGAGAAGCAGTAAAGGTCACCTTATTACCATTATCTGTACTGATGCTGAGTTTTGACATTTAGGCAAGACTATATTGAAAATTAATGTTTTGTATCCCAGATGGAGTCTTATGGCAAATTTGAAGAGGGTGGCATGTTAAGCTTTTCACAGTTTCAGATTTCTGTTTCAAAACTTGCACTTTAATGCCTGAGTCTGAAATTTGCAGATGGCTTCGTTTCATAGGGAGTTGTAGAAATTCTGTTGGGGTGGTTGGTGGAGGAGGAAGAGGAGGAGGAGGGGAATCTGTTGAATATGAATCAAATGTTAATGTTTTAATTATTCTGTCATATTTAATTGATAATGCCAATAAATAATCATTACACAAAATTTTATGCCATCCTTCTCCAACCTTTTCCTCTCAGATCCGTTGAAATGACCACTCCCAGAATTCTGCAGCTATCAATATTGATTGTCTCAAAATATCTAGGGAGCTAAAGTTTGGGGGAAGGCTAAGCAGGAGATAACAATCCATGTTTCATGAATAAGGAGTCCCTAATCTTTGAAATATGGCAGAACTACAACTCTTAGAATCACTCAGTGTTGGAAATGCTTGTTGATGTTAGTAATTGCAGTTCAGCTACAGCTGGAAAACAATGTTTCTCCATATCTGCCCTAATTCAAAAGCTGTTTTGCTCTCTTGGCCCAATTAGCTTAAGGATAGGCAGGAGTTAGCAATGGCACTTAGACTTATATACTGCTTCACAGTGCTTTACAGCCCTCTCTAAGCAGTTTACAGAGTCAGCCTATTGCCCCCAACAATCTGGCTCCTCATTTTACCGAACTCGGAAGGATGGAAAGCTGAGTCAACCTTGAGCCAGAGATGATCGAATTGCTGGCAGTCAGCAGAATTAGCCTGCAAGACTGCATTCTAACCACAGTTCTTAACTCTTCAAGTTAGTCTTGAGTTAATGGGTACATTTTTCAGTGATTTGTATATGTTTGCTGCCACATTATTTACTAAAAGCAAATAATGTGGCAATGTCAACAAAATGAAGCCCCTTCCACAAATTAAGCTAATGTCATGAAAAATTATTGTGGTAACCAGAGATAAGTTTTCTATGGAAAACCATAGAAAATCTCTTTGTTCTATCTTAAAGTCATGTGCATATCTACTTCTAGCTGCATTTGACTTACAGTTTGCAGCCAGTAGAACATAAAGTAAATCTCACAAGCCTCTCTCCTAATCCAGAGACTTTAGCTGTTTATTTCCTACTTTAAAAGGGTTCCCCCCCCCCGCCCACACATGTCTCCCTGACATTTGTTTAGTGTCCTTTGCACACAATGCATCAGACAAAAAATAATAATATTTGGACAGACCTTCCAGTTGTATTGAGCGTCAATAGCTTTATTCAGCTGAAAAAATGTTGGGTTTTTGAGGTACCATTATTCTCTTCTCATCTCCTTCCCTTTTTATCCCTCTGTCTGTGAGCATGCATTTGGAACACACAGGCACTGACATTTTAATAGAACATAAATCTGCCACCCAGCTCCATACATAGCTCTGGACAATTAAAATGGGTGCATTATCATTTTTGTCACGGCGGCCAAGCAGGCAATTTGAGTCCAAGTGACATTTTTATATGATAAATAAGAGCCAGAGCTCAGATTCCACTTGCTAAGCTCCTTTAGCTTCTTAAAATTCAACTATTTTAGAGAAAATGCTGGTTCAGAATCACTAGTTCAAATCATAGTTTATTAAAGAGATGGCAGGCCATTTACTGAGTAGAAGGCAAGGCAAAGCTAGAGCAGAGGCTGCAACATGGGACCTTTCAGATTGTCTGAATTCCAGCTCCCATCAACCCTTGTCGGCCAGGTCAATGACAAACAGTTGTAGAAGTTGTAGTTTAATAGAACTGGATGGCTCCTAATTGTCAGCTAAGGCTCCCCTCCTTACTTTATGTAAGCAGCCCTGAGTCCCCTCAGGGAAAAGGGCGGCCTATAAATTCTAATAAACAAACAAACAAATATACTGTATTACTCGGTAACTTTCACTAAAGTCCAGAGAGAAAACATCAAGTGTTACTATTAGAGACCCAGTGTGATGAAAGGTTAAGATATTGGACTAGAATAGATAGACTCAGCTTCAGAGTCTGGACCACCCTCAGCCAGAGAAGCTCATTGGAGCAGAGGTGGTATTCAGCAGGTTCTAACCAGTTCTGGAGAACTGGTAGCAGAAATTGTGAATAGTTTGGAGAACCAGTAAATACCACCTCTGACTGGCCCCACCCCATGTATTCTCTGCCTCCCGAGTCCCAGCTGATCAGGAGGGAATGGGGATTTTGCAGTAACCTTCCCCTGCCATGCCCACCAAGCCACGCCCACCAAGCCACGCCCACCAAGCCATGCCCACAGAACCAGTAGTAAAAAAAATATTGAATCCCACCACTGCTCAAGAGCCATGTTAAACTATACCATGAAAAAGTTCTTACCAAGTCTTTCTTTCACTTTCTAGGCTCAACATTGTTTGTGATAGCACAGAGTCTGAGATGAATCACCTTTATCCAGCTGTGGCTGAAAATGTCCGGGAATGCTACCTTCAGAAGGATCATCTGTTATTCAGCTGTGCTGGATGCAATACCAAGTACCAGCGCCTCTGCCCATGCCGTGATTACCAGAAGGGACAGGTGGCACTCTGCAGGGACTGTTTGTGACTTTACTGAGGCAAGTGTGTGGCAATATATCACATGCACTGAGTGACTTTTTTTTCATAAACTCTTCTGCAATAGTCAAGAGGGATCTGGAATTCAAGACAATTCCAAGAAGGAACTTGTTGTTGGAGACTTACAAAAACACTTGGATGCCAATGTTTTTGGTTTGTCTGCCATTCAAGGATGAATAACTCTTTTAATGTTCCTTTACAACAACTCTTCTACCGCACCCAAAATCATTTGGCACCCCTGAAGGAACTTAGAAGAACAAGCTGACATTTTTCAGAAAGCAAAGCACCTCTTTAGGATCTCATCTTCCTGAAACATTATTTTTTATGAGGAAAATAAGTTCAAATTAAAGCGGGAAAGTCATGAAATAGTTGTGTACGTGTGTTTTTATTGTTTTTTTTAAAGTGTCATGTCTTCAGAATGCTTGGTTATCTCTTTGGAAAGGGCTAATCTTTGTAGGAGTGTGGACTAAGCAATGGGGCATTCCCCCAGTGATGTTGCTTTTAATGTCACAATCTTTGACAATTGGTCATGTTATCTCAGGTTTAGTTGCAATTCCAAACTTCTGGTTATTGCCTAACCCTGTGATAAAAGATGACATGGGATAAAAAAAAGAAAAGAATAAGGAAGTACTTGCCAAGAGATGTCATTCATTGTTATAGCTTTGTCTGAAATGGTATAGGGTTTCCTGCCTAAGCAGGGGGTTGGACTAGAAGACCTCCAAGGTCTCTTCCAACTCTGTTATTCTATTCTATTCTATTTTACTCTACTCTACTCTACTCTACCCTACTCATTCTATTCTATTCTATTCTATTCTGATTTCAGGGTCATTTTTGCTGCAAGGTGGACGTCCAGGGCAGACACATGCCTATCAGATTTAACATCTGCACTGGAAGTTCAAAAAACTGATAATGGTATTGTTGGTTTAGGGATGGGCCCCCAATATTTTTCTCACTTTCATTCTGAGTTAGACAGATCTTGCATTTTTTTTTCATTGTGAGGGGTGGGAGGGATTTGTTTGATTTGTGTTTCAGTATGAAGGTTGCCTGTTCATTCTTCCAATGCCTGTAAATAAAATGGAACAGAGTTTCATGCCACTATCAGTGCCAGTAATGTGCGCCTATCAGTATGCATTTATGAATTGCAAACTGCATTGCAACATTCCAGACACATAACATTAGGCACTTAATATTAAAGAGTGCAAAATACAATATAAGACAGTAATACAGAAAAGTGGTATTACAGAAAAGTACACACCAATATGCAACTGGGCATGTTATGAAAAGGCCCATACAAAATGTATGAGGAGAAAGGCACATAAAATGTGCATGTAACTTCAGGTGGCTTGCAGGGAGTAAAAAAGAGAATAGATTGAAGAAATTTATAGTGGAAAGATGAGAAAATAAGTGAATTTTCTAGTTTCAATCATCGTTTGCTTTTAAGCCTGACCGGTATGGTGTTCAACTTGCAGACTGAGGCCTCTTGGTTTCAAAATGACCAGGAATCCTATCATTAATTACATTCATGTGCCATTCATTCATAGCAATAGTAGGTAAGTAAATCTTTATTGTGTTCTTTGATCAACATGGGAAGGGGAGGGGGAAAAATAAAAGTATTAAAGAAATGTAGTTGGGACTTTTTTTTTTTT